GTCTGGTAGTTCATTGGTGTTTTTTATAATAAAAAAAAACATTACATGGCCGTTTGGAGATACGAAATTTCTCTTCTCCTGTTGAAAAAATATTTCGTTCGTTCGCTGCCCTCACTCGTGAAATATTTTTCAACACTCGAAGAGAAATTTCGTATCTCCGCGCGGCCATGTAATACAGGCCTCTATATATATATCACAGCTGGTAAGGTATCCTACAATTCAGTCTTCTGACTGCAAAAGGGACAATAAACCAGTGATTTGATTTGATTTGACAAGTTTCTTTCCTTTAAACCCTTTAAACGATACATTGATTGTTTTTCATCCATATACAAACTGATCACGATGGCGGAACCGGTTTCAAAACATACTGTGGCGTGAGGAAATAGACTACGAGTAGTAAAAGGAAAAATGGGGACTACTCGTAGTCTAGGTAGCTAGGGAAGTGATGGAGTGGAAACCACACATATATTTTTAAAGCATAAGTATTAAAAGTATTATTTATAGAAATACCTAAAGCTATCTGAATGTTCCCGGAGTGTTCATGTTTTTAAGTGAAGTATTAAAAAAGAAACGACGTTAACCTCTTCTAGAAGAATTGACAAATGCCCCACCCCTGAGAAGAGGTTTTCTGACAAATTTCCCACCGTCGGGACCGACAAGATGACAAATGCCCGACAAATGCCCCGGGGGGGATGGGCACACTTGGAATTGACTGAGCCATTATCCGTTCATGTTTGCTAGTGTCGGCGCGAACACGAACTTTATTGAACACATAACTTCTTCATAGTTGACAAGGGTCGCCCGATAATTACTTGGAGATGGTGTTTGTTCCAAAGTAGACAGACAGACAACTACACTCAAAAGAGTGGCTCTCACCTCGCTTTAATTAGCAGGTGCAGCAGCATCTTAGCGATCGGCGGCTTTTATCACCTGGTCGTGAACACGTCTGTCGACGTCAAGTTGTCGGGAGTGGAGAAGGTCTCCCGAGTCCACTCCACTGGGAGGTCTCTCGACCGACTCTCGACCACCATTTGAGCGGGGGTGGGTCAGGTCAATTGAGCCCACGATCTCCATCGGTTACTGACCAACGGGTAAAAGTTCAATTCGAAAAGTTGAATGTCGAATGCAAAAACTTGCAAGTACAATGCCTAAAGTCGGATGTGGGAAGCAAAAACTTAAAGGACAAATGTTGGATGCGAAAAAATGTACATTCCACTGAACTGTAGGATAGATTTTGCAAAGTACAATGTAAAATGGAACATTGAATTTTGGCGGAAATGGAACGCCATATTAATCAGCTCTTTGAAGCATGGATGACCTGCCGACATTAGCGTTTCCGTGCGAGGTAGTCAAGAAAATCGGAGTGAGAGCAAAAAAAAGAGTAACGAAGAAGCATTCTCTCCCTGATTCGTTCGAAAATGTTTGCTAGGCAGGCCAAAGTTAAGCATGGACAACTGAAATTGTTTGCATATTTCTGTACAGTGAACACGTTACACACACGTTCTTTCCTTGGACATTAAATTAAGCTGAGGGAAAGCAAATCTTCGTTGGCTCAAAAGCAAGAGCAAAAAAGCCACGGGAAAGCCAAAACACGCTATTTCCCGATGCTTTGTTTTACAGGAGAGAGAACGGATTATTTTTCCGTCTATTTTGTCCAAGATAGTGGTCGTTAAACTGTGTGTCACAGCAAATACATTAATCAGCCTTCGGCCAAGTCATCCCCAATTTCTACTGTGCAACAAAATCCTCCAAAAAAAATGGCAGTTGTAGAAAATCTTAAGTTTCTATGGGCCTTTGGGCCAAGCTTAGACTTTCAACCACAGAGGATTTGAAAGTGCAGAGAAGTATAACAGGGACTGTTCTTTAAGACCAAGGTGTATTGTAGAGGATAATGCAGTGTGAAGGTGTCTTGAATATACAACTTTACTGATTGCAAGGGTATACGCGAAGTCAAAACAGTAAATGAAGTAACTTTACAACGGTAGTTTTTTTTAATGTCATTTTAGAAGCTGTAATCGGACTTTTGTTGTCTGCTATACTACATGTATAGCAGACAACGTCCCTTAAAAGACAGAGAACTGGATTGACAAAACTTTTTGCGGACAGGATTGTTTCCGTTCTCATACCTGAAGTTTGCTGAGCGCAAAAAGGCCGTTAAGATGTTATGCAAATCTGGCATAACAATTGCTTTCAACTTCTCCTGGGTATTACAGTCATTCAAAGGGAATGTGAAAACAATGGTTATGCAAAATATAGGGGGGCGGAAAGGGTGGGAGGAGGTGGGTGGGGGGGAATCAAGGTGAATTATGGGCGATAAATGTGAAAGTAGCGAGTAGAAACAGACTGGGGGTCGTGATATGTTTTGGTCAGCGTGCTTTCATTATATATAACTTTTTTCGTCGTTTTTTTGTTTGTTTTGTTTTGTTTTACTTTTTTAACCTTTCTAATTACTTGTGAGTTTAAACACGCTTGCATTTTAGGTTTATTCCTTCTTCCTTCTGGAAAATCTTTCTTCTTCCCTTTTTCTTTCTTTCTTTCGTTTTTAGTTTCGTTTCCCGTTAGTTTTGTTTTGAAATTGGTCTTCCCGTTTCTAGTCGGGTCCTATAGAGGCCTACAACAATTTGTAAACAAGAAACTCTTCGCAGCCTTGTATTTTATCACGAAAAGTAAAAGTGCGCAAAATATTTTTTATCTTCTTACCCTATTGTTGCTTACAACACGTGTTGCGCTAGACTTTTTAAATTCCTCCGCCAAATCTCCGTCATATCTATCCAGTCATGTTAAGAATGTTTTCAAAAAAATTGTTCTGTTATACAGCTATAGATCAAAGCTTATGATAGTATAGCACAGCAGATAAAAAGCGCGGGAAAAATTGCAATAGCGGTGCTTATGCTGCGTTTCTGTTTAAATATTCCAAATCCAGATTTAAGGTAATTGGTGTTGAAAACTGGTCACCGTTAGAAACAGCAAAACCGAAGACGGATTTACCGTTGTAACTGTAGCAGGGGTTGGACGTAAGGCATTTTGCATTCCGCTGGCCAGAAAGGTGCCCAGGAGCAAAAACTGCGATTTTTGCAATTTCTGCGATTATTATATTAGCGTGACAAAGAACTGCGAAAAATCGCAACTAACGTGAAAAACACACGAAAAACTGCAATTTTTGCTGCTACGTGCAAACCTGGACATAAGTGAAACGTCTGAAACCTGTGGTTCCGTACGCTGTCGACAACAGCAACATTCGTTTTCCTAGCTCAATTTTTATTAAATTAGACAAAAAGGTATTTCAAAGGACACGCAATAATATATCTTCTGAGTTTCGCGAAATCTTCAAGGTCTTTCGAGAGGAAAATTGTCAGTCTATGAAAGATGTTTTTCAACCGCTGTAAAAAAAAAAAAAATGGATGTCAAAATACATTCTTTGCATTACAGAAATGGTAGGTTATGATATCGTACCTGACAGTGGCCCATAAGGGACATGAAAACCCAGCTATTTATTTTGTGAAATTTGAGTGGTAAAGCTATTATTTTAGGTTTGCGGTTTTATTTTCAATTTTTTCCTTTGTAAAAGCGGTTTTGCTTGATTTAAAAAACTTTTTTTCAAGACTCAGGTTTTTTTTCCTTTAAAGTTTATTTTTTTTAAATTCACGTTTAAAAGTTTAAAAACAAAAAAGAAAACTCGATTTTTTTTCAAAAGTTAGGTTTTTTCAAGTTGAAAAAAAAACAGTTTTCAATTGTCTAGAACAATGCGCATGTCATATAACTGCTTACCACAATTGTTGGCTCTAAGAAACAAGATAGCGTCGATGATCAATTTCACTTTATGCCTTTCGCGTGGAAGGAGCACTGATGATGCCTTCGAATACATGTATTCCTGTGACATCAGGGAATTCTGACCGTAATTCTTCGATTGAATGTTACTTCAATTTTGGATTGTGGACTACTCAGAAATCCTAAGCTGGCTGTGATTTTTCTCCTACATAACCCTTTTGAAAAAAGTACCTTTTTCAACTGACGAGTGAGTTGTATTCAGTGTTCGAGAAGAAGGAAGCTTGGGATTTCAGAGTAGTCCAATCCAAGATTGAAGTAACATTCAATTAAAGAATTAGGGTCAGAATTCCCTGATGTCACATGCAGGAATGTACGAGAACATTATCAGTACTCGTTCAACGTCAAAGGCATAAAATGAAACAGAAAACAGCTAAAACTATTTTGATCATCAACGCCATCTTGTTCATTTTATTTGAGCCAGTAATCGTGGTCAGCAGGTATATGACATGCGCACTGTTCGAGACAATAAAAACCCAGGTTTTGAAAAAAAAACCTGAGTTTTGTAAAAAATCTGACTTTTGAAAACATCTGAGTTTTTAATTTTTTTGTCCATCATCATTTGATTGTTAAAGGTAACATATTCTTGCGTTTTTATCGTAGATTTGGACGTATTGGATGCCTTTTAATGCGTGCCTCCCAGGAACATGGAGACGTACAAGTTGTCGCAGTGAACGATCCATTTATCGATCTGGATTACATGGTTAACAATATTTTTATTATTGCTTGTATAATTCCATTGAGGAATAATTTTATTTTATTGTGACTAACAAAACAGGATTCGTAGGCAGTTTTTTTAAACAACCGGTATTAAAACTAAATCAATATCGTATTGTTCCAATAATGGCGGCCGCTTCCTGATAGGTCATGATACCATATTTTGCATGAGCTCATGCGTAATCGGTTGACGCACAAAAAATGAACTGTCAGATCTACGTCTTAATGATTTTCAATTAATGTAAGTTATTTTGAGTTTGTGGTTGCACTTTGATTTAAAATTTTGTTTCTAATTATCAGCACACGTGTAATATTTTCAGATATTTCTCAGATTTTAGCACTGATCTCCACAGTTTTTCCAGACTTTCCATGCAGGTCGTGTAGGTCACAGACAAAAAGCAAATCGAGACCTACTGATTCATGATAAGTTCATTAATTTCTGCTGTTTTGTCAAAAAGGTGTACATGTTTAAGTACGACTCCACTCATGGAAGATTCAAGGGAACTGTTGAGGCAAAAGATGGCAAGCTTGTCATAAATGGCAAATCAATCTTTTTCCATGCATTGAAAGACCCAAGCGTAATTCCATGGAGTGAAAGCGGTGCTGAATATGTTGTTGAGTCAACTGGTGTTTTCACAACGACAGAAAAGGCCAGCGCTCACTTGAAGGGCGGGGCCAAAAAGGTCATCATTTCAGCCCCCTCAGCTGATGCTCCCATGTTTGTGATGGGAGTGAATGAGGACAAGTATGATCCAAAATCTATGACAGTTGTTAGGTATGTTGATAGATTGTGCTTTATAGAAGTTTTTTTTAGTCGTGATGGTCTTGAAATGAGTAGTATCACTTTTGGTGAATTTTCAATTCTTTGACTGAAGAGCATGATATTGAAATTAAAAATAAACTCAATTATGAAAAAACCATGGTCAAAATTTATTATAACATAGCTAGTAGAATATTCACCTAATCAAATTCAATAGCACGAGCATGCTTCATATTCCCATTGAGCATGCTGATGACGTCAACAAACTATACCTTGAGTTCTTGTGAGCTTAGCAATCCTCCCAAGACGTCTCCTAAGTGCATCGGTAACTCAACAGTACACTATGAAGCGTTAACCATGTGTTTTATAAAGAGAACACTTTTGGATTTGTCAATCAATAGTAGGGAAAAGAGGTGAGTGTTGTTGTTGTTGTTGTTGTCGTCTCCGCGAACTGTGCGGGCTGTGGTGTGTGCAAATCAATTTTTTGCACTTGGGAAGTTTGGAGAGCACTCAAGAAGCTCGAGTAACTCTTACGCTTCTTTCGTGCTCTCCAAACTTCCCCGCGTGCTCAATATCTTGACATACACACGCTGGCGCATGAACTAATTGTTAACTCTTCCAAGGAACACTTGACCAGTTTTAACTTTACCTCTTGCGACCTGTGACATTTTTTTTTTTACCCCTAGCAATGCATCATGCACAACCAACTGCCTTGCTCCTTTAGCCAAAGTCATAAATGACAATTTTGGAATAGAAGAGGGTTTAATGACCACGATCCTGGGATGCTTATACTGCCACACAGAAGACTGTTAATGGACCGAGTGGAAAGGTATGTGCCAAGCAAAGCTTCCAAAAAAATCTGTAAAATGAGAGCTACATGTGTTAACCACATCAAAAGAGAACTTCAAAACACCCCATTTTTCTGTAGATAAGTGTTAAAGGTTGGAACACTTGGTCACAAGATGCAGTTAAACATGTTGCAGCATTATGTGATGTTGCAGGGACAAATTACTTTTTGCTTATTTCAAAAATCTTTCTGAAAATCTTGTCCCTGCAACAGAATTTTGCCACAGACTGCAACAAGTTGCACATAATCAAACCAGAGGGCACAAAGAGATTTGTTGCTGCAAAGTGTCATGCTACCTGATGCCTGAATTGTACACAAGGAGTGCTTTTTTGGGAAGACATGTTGCCTAGTGTGTTCCAACTTTAATAAGTTTTCCCCTACCATTTTGCTAACAATCCAGTTTAGATTATTTGGCAAATAATTTCTGGGATATGAACCAAGGGTGGTGTTGAAAAATACATCATGTTTGAACTTTGCATATTTCCCCTTTTTCTCCATCCCAGAAATGGCGTGATGGCCGCGGAGCTCATCAGTGAGAATGTAATTCCAGCATCTACAGGTGCTGCTAAGGCTGTTGGGAAGGTTATCCCTGAACTGAATGGAAAGCTGACTGGTATGGCATTCCATGTTCCTGTTCCAGATGTCTCTGTGGTGGATCTTATCTGCAGACTCAAGAAGGGGGTAAGGCGCTGCCTCATTGTATGTTGAACAGCACTTTTGGTTTTATTGTGTTGATGACCTACATGTAGTGTGACACCAGTCAGAGCCTTTTTTTTTAAACATTTCATCAGCCCTCAGTGGCCAATTCCAAAAATGAATGACAGTCGAACCTCCATATAATATGTGACCACATATTAAAAACACGAGGGTTTTCCCAGTTAAAGCCTTAGAGTTGGACCCTGTCTTAAACGACCACTTCTTGTAACCAACTGCTACTACTTTTTGGGGATAATGGTTAAATAACTTTCCTTTGTTTTTAAGCTTTTTAAAGGGATCACTTGATGTTTGATTTATGTGTTATGCTACTTAAAGTATAAAAAGATCTTCTAGCAACAACCATAACTACACACATTGCAACTTAGAAATTGCATGCCGTCAATTATCTTCCATAATGTAGATGTGATCGGACCTCTTCTCAGAAAAGAACCCCTGTGGTTTGATTCTTGTAAGTTATCGACTGTAAGTGACCACCAAATCTGCTCATTTTGGGTGGCCATTTAAGGGAAGTTTGACTGTAATTTTAAATATAGACTGGAAACATAAATTTTTGTTCTGAAATATTTTGGCTGAATCACACAGCCTTCAACAGTTGATTGTACATGGTTTTGTCGCTGTCACAAGACCTTAGAGCAGCCATTTGACAGGAGTATGGTATTGTAGATGTTCGGGTGCTCCATTAACTGTTAGGCTCTCAACCAAAATGTTTGAGGTTACATTAAATGGTGGTAGCCTATATCGTGCATTAGAATTAAACATCCTATCTGTCTCACAGTAAAGTGAGCAGACACAAAAAGGACCGTGGCAGATGCAAGATGGCCTTTAGTAACAAATGTCTATAATTGCACACAATTGTCTAGTTGGTAAAAAAAATTAATTCATAAGGTCTATGGAAGCTGTGATAAAAAATAATACGTTCAAACCTCTCACAATGGCCACAAGAAATTGGTCAGTGTAGAGAGGTGGCCATTGTAGAGAGGTTTTAACAAGGGTCAATGTATGGACAGTCTGCCAAAAAAAAATGGCTGTTGTAAAGTGGTGGCCATTTTAGACAGGTGGGGGCCATGAAATAATGAAGGTTTGACTGTATTTGATGCAAAGCCTACATTAAATAAGGCTTACATTGTTAAAAACAAAATTAAAACTGAACATTCAAGCCATGCAGTGTTTTGCTTATAGCGTTCTTTTGTAGCAACTTCGCACCAATTTCCCGTTGTACTAATTTACAAATAAGTTACATCCCATTTTCTTTTTCATTCATTCTTTCTTTCATTTCTTTTCTGTTGTAGGCATCATATGATGAAATTAAGGCAGTGATGAAGAAAGCATCAGAAGATCCAGCACTTAAAAAATACCTTGGATACACTGATGAGCAAGTTGTATCCACTGACTTCATTAGCAGCACTTGTTCTTCAGTCTTTGATGCTGCGGCTGGAATTTCTCTGAATCCAAATTTTGTTAAGCTTGTAGCCTGGTAAGCAAAAGCATGCGCCTTAAAAGTCCTTGAATGTCCTTGAATTCAAGCTAGGCCTTGAAAGAGCTTGAAAATTGCAGTTGGTGCTCTAAAGTCCTTTCAATTTTGGTAGTAACTTTATGTGACCCAGATTCTCAAGTGCTTGAAACAAACAAACACAGAAAGACCTTCGGGATAAAATTGCTCATGTTGTGAAAGAACTAAAAAAGACATAGACTCAAGGCTCTTTGTTACACTCAATGGGGTCCTTGAAAAGTGGAAATTGTTTCCTTGAAAAGTCCTTGAATTTTTTGCTCAAAACAGTGTACTAACCCTGGTTTTTGTACGTGACTTGAGTTGGGAACAGTTGTTGTTAGAGGGGATGGGGTGCTCCTTGCTGTGGGGCTCTGAGAGTAATGACTCCCTTTATTTTAAGTTGTGACGGAGTCTGAGTCAGAGTTGTATACCAGTATATACAGCTCTCTCGGGAGCTAACAAATACAGTAGTACAAATACAATAGTCTGCTATGGCATCACCAGCAGCAAACACTGTACCACCTCCTTGGTTTTTGAGTGGCGCTCTTACTTTGAAGTTGAATGTTGAGTTGTGCAGTCTAAAACTTTTGATCCCTAAGATGAATGATTAATAATAAGTGCCTTTTACGGCTTATAAGGGAAGCATAAAGCAGTTGTTTTTAGGCCATCTTTGATTTGAGGGTATGAAGATACTGCAAAATCCTGAATGCATTTTAAATTAATTAATGTGTTATGAAGTGTTTGTATTCATACTGTCTGACCCTCTATTAGTAATAACTTGGTTAAGTTATTCATAGGCAAGGTCAGCAAAATCGTTCTCAAAATTTTCTGTCTTTTTTCCCAGGTATGATAATGAATATGGCTATACAGCCACCGTGTTGTGGATCTTATCAAGTACCTTGCTGGCAAGGAGTGAACACCTTGTTCCAGGCCATCGTAATTTAAATTTCTCGAACCACCGTGTTAACGTTAGTTCTGTTTACACCTTTTTCTTTCTTGATTATGATTCTCGAGATTAAATGGAAGTTTTTGTAACCAATTTCTGTGGTCCAAAAGATGTTCTCACACCCTCGTTGTGGCTCCAGTGTTAAAACATTATTGATCAGCCTCAGCTGACTCATCCCTGTTATTGTGTAAGAAAATCTTCCAGGACAATGGGCAGAGTTGCAGAAAATTTCACTTGATCTTGAGTTGCAGCCGCTAGCTTAGACTTCCAACCACAGGTTCAGAGGTTCAAAGCTGCCCTGAAGTAAAACAGGGACTCTTCTTAAGATCGAGGTGCGATTTAGTAGAAAGTTTGTGCCAGTGGATTGTAAAGTTACTTATATCAGGCCTAAAACATGCACTGTTTGGGCAATACAAAGGTGTCAAAACAAGATGTAACTTTAACATTGTGGTGAAATCTTTGTGGTGGGCCTCATCATCAGTTCAGAAAATGACTGAAATCTGACTTATCATGTGTGGTGTGTTTGTTGTCTGCTGTTGTTTCCTAGGAATAGAAAACTGGATTGGAAAAAGAAATCCAAAAGAGTGGGATTGCTCCCGTCCTCTAGCTAACGTTCACTAAGAAGAAATGTGTTGTCGATGTTAAGATAAACTGAGCTGAAATAAAGCTACTTTCATCTGAACCATCAGTTATAATTTCTTTAATGGGTGATTTAGTAATACGTTGTCAGCAAAAAAACTGTGGGTGCACTTCGGTAATGAACATTTTGCCCCAAGTCAGACACAAATGTTAACGTTAAGTTAGGGGAGGGGTAGGTGGGAAGTTTCCCAGACCTAAATTGGTCGCATGATCTGACATATGCCATCAGCTTGCCCCAAGGGTAGGACCCCGGGCCAACCATCGGATTGTAAATCACAGTGGAACGGCGATATAACGAAGGGCCAAGGGACTGTCAACAAGTGTTCGTTTTAACAAGGTTTCGTTACATCGAGGTTCTTTTCCATATGTTTTATTATTAGAGGGGTAAAAAAAAATCGTTCGTTATAACAAACTGAGGAATTTGTTACATAGAGGTTTCTTAAATCGAGGTTCCACTGTTTAAATTTTTCCCACCCCCTTTTCCTTCTAACTGAAATATTGTTCTGAATATTACACTCCCCTGGGGCAGGGAACCCAGTTTATTCACTTGTATTCCCAGAGATATTTCCCTGAATTCCCCAGGGTACTATCCCTGGGGTAAGCTAATGACAGGCACATAAAGTGCCATTTTTTTAATTGATTTATTGTTACAATGATGTTTTTTTTTAAAAAAAAATATTGGTACCCCTTCGCTTGCTTGAGAAATACATTACGCAAAGAAGATACATTCGCGCGAGAAAACGAACATTTGCGCATACGTCAGATTCAATAAGGATTTTTGCATTTTAGTCAACATTCAATAACATTTTGGGTCATTATGTATTTATTCTTGAATTTGTGATGTAGTTTTTTCCTCATCGAACGAAAACATGTTCAATGGTAATTGTACCTTTGAATGAATATTAGGAAAGTTTGAAAATACACCGTTAACCCGACTAAGTTTTGTGTCGATTTGTCATTGTGAATCTCATCTGTTGACACTTACAAAGCAAACTGCTTACAATACACCTCAACATTGTGGCATTCGCAAAAGGGCCCCAAACGAATTTTGAAATTTCTTAACGGCATCGCCGTTTCCTGGTCTTCTCCTAGATTTTTTCAAAGCCCGTTTCCGGTTTCTGCTGGTTAGGTGGTCAGTAGGGAAGCCAGAAGACCGGGCAGATCGGCTGAAAAAGTCACATTTTTTGAAAGCCTTGAAACTTTTTTACGGTTAATATTAATCTGCCTTTTTGACGGTTGACAGTAAAAAAAAACCTTTTTCGACGGCTGAGGGTTAAATTTTAGGCCATTTGACGGCTGAACTGACGGTTAACCCCACTGAGACACTCCTCAGTGTATATTCTATACCGGTCTACAAAGAACATCTAGCTGCTTTCCAACTTTCTTTAGTGCTAATTTTCACAACGTGTTTTACAAAATTCAGGGAATCGTCCAATGTTAACCCAAACACATCCCTGATTATAGTAACTAGTGGTAATTAAGGCAGCACCCTCAGCAAACCGCTGGCATTATATAGGCTTTCGCGCAAGAACAAGCGCCTTGCAGTTTTCAGTGTTCAAGATCATCTTGTTTTCACGAAACCACTTACACACCTCCTCGAGTTCCTTGTTGAGATTGTATGAAGTGCATGAGCAGTTCTTCTACCCGATTTGTGAGTTTTTTCGGCTAGCGAGGGCTCATTCATATTTTCTTCGCGAGACATCAACTTGACACGTGGTCTCTTGTCCTCCAGGAGACACGTGATATGGCATGATTCTATCTTCTGTGGGTGTTGTGAGTTCTAGGTTAGGGCTTAAATCAGAGTGCACGGTTTTTCTTTTTAACAGAGCTTTCTCTAGTTGTTACGCCATACTGAAGAGCTGCAACGATAGCGAAACAGCTGTCTATGGCTACAATCCCACTCTGTTTTGAGTTCTTTCGGTGTCGTGTTGAATTGTCTTACAAAGTTAATTTTCACGTAGTACGATCAGCATTGCAGTATTCTGGTACGTTTAACTTCAACACATGATTGTTTCCTTGACAACGATAAATTTGAACACAAAAAAAACATTATTTATAACTGATTATCCTTTAATGCATTTTCAACAAAAGAATGAAATCGTTATACAATTCGGTTAGTATATGTTATAATGAACGGACCTGAAGAACCTGCATGTTGAGAAAAAAAAATGGTACTTGAGCTAAGGGCGCGGGAATAATATTTCCAAAAACACACCAGCTAAAAACTAGTAACTGCTGAAAAGAAAATGAAAAGGCGGACATCATAAAAAAAAAACAATTTTGATACCAAAAATTTGAACCGTCTTATTAAACTACAATCGGCAATTCAATGATACTACAATACATATGAAAAAAGGTTACAAAATAAGTAATGGTAACAGGACTGAGTGGAGTCCAATTCGGTCTGTAATCGCGTAGCGGGAGTCCGATTTGTTTAATCCGGCGAGTATGATTACAGACCGAATTGGACGACACGAAGTTCTGTTACCAATTAATCATAAATTTAACAAAATTTGTGATATATAGGGCTCTTTTTAAATCAAAACACAAGAAATTCCAAGATTTTTTCGCTACCAATGAAAAAAAAAGCTATTTAAGCGCGCGCGTGATGGCGCCTACTGTCCTATTAAACTGTCCTATTAAGGGCCTCTTCATATGAGCCCGGTTGACCGGGCTGGCTCGGTTACCGGGATAAATTTTGCCTTGGGTTCATATGAGAAATTTCAGCCCGGTTTCCGAGATAAGAAAAGGTCAAAGATCCTGGGTGCGAGTTCTGGCGCCAAATTTGGGAAACAAAGCAAACATAGCGAAACACAAAAATTTTAACATTCGGGCCTATCTTAGCATCGGTAACTCTTAAAGCTGTATCACTGCAGCTAAATGGGATGCTTATGATGTGGAAAATACAGCAGGCAATGCAAGACGATGCCATTTGGACCGCCAGAATTCATCCCGCCGTTCATCCCGGTAACCGGGATGAAGTGTTCATATGGCAAAATTTCCAGCCCGCTTACCGAGATCTCGGGAACCGAGCCAGCCCGCCCTCTCATATGAACACATCGAAAATTTTACAAAGGATTTAGAGGTGAGGCGAGATCTCGGAAACCGGGCCAGCCCGGTCAACCGGGCTCATATGAAGAGGCCCTAAGGCTGAAATCAGGGCAGTTGAGAACCAATCAGATTTGAGAATTTTGTTATAGTTATGATTAATATATTTATAAGTTATGTCATTTCAGCTATATTATTACAGCAACGCGTCTATAATTTATTGTTACATTCACAGAAGAGACAAACAACGTTTGAGGGCAACCTAACGCCCCCGGGCAACTAGAAAACGTCAACAGTGACAAATACCTCACGAGAAGGTGTTGTTCGGAAAGTTATGGTTTCATATTCTAGATAACCAATTTGAACTTTTCAACAATAATACCACTGGTAAGATCGTATTATATCTCAGTCAAAAACCTGGATTCGGTTGTTACTGAAGTCAGACACAACTATCCTTCCATCACTAAGATTTGCTGTAGACACTGGAAGCTTAAACTCTCCTCTCTCACTACCTTCACTTCCAAATTTTGTAACAAACTTTCCATTCAGTTCAAATAACTGAACTCTGGCATTTTCTGCATCACAGACCATCAACAATCTTTCTTTGTTAACTGACAAGCAACGGGGCTGATTGAACTCTCCATCTTTGTTTCCCTGTTTTCCAAATTTAGAAATAAACCTTCCCTCCAGATTAAACATTTTAATGGAATGATCACTACGATCTGAGACTATAAAATATTGACCGTGTTGGATACAGTGATAGGGTTCGACCAAAGAACCTGCTCCACCAAATTTACGTAAATACTTCCCACTAGAAGTGAATGTCTTGATTAATTTGTTTTTGCTATCAGCAACAATAATATCACCGTTGCCGTTTATTGATAAACCTCGAGGGTATTGAAGCTGATTATTAAGACTTCCATATTCACCAAACTTACTAAGAAAGTTACCATTCCTATCAAAGACTTGCAACCTGTGGTTAAAACAGTCTGCCACTACAATATTGCCATGACTATCAAAAGCGATCCCTGAAGGGTTCTGGAACTCACCATTATTGTTACCCTTCCTACCAAAGGATCTTAAGTGGGTGCCGTCATTACTAAACACTGAAACCCTGTGGTTCCAGGTATCAGCCACAGCAATTTCATCCTGATCATTCACTGCCACCCCCCAGGGCCCCTTAAGCATTCCAACAGACTCACCTTTTTGTCCAAATGACAGCACAGATCTGAAGCGCCTGGTTTGTACCTGAGTCTCAAGAGGACTGTCACGAACATTTGCCCCTTTAATCCCAGCAATTACTTTACTACTTTCTTTACCTTTAGCTCCTGATTGTTGCGCTTTAGGTTCGCTAAAAACAAATTCTACATTACCTATACCCTCGCTCATGCTCAACAAGTTAATCAGTTTTGCACTTTTAGTGAAACTAAACCGAGGAATACATTCAGTGTCACGGTTTTCTTGGGTGCTCTGTTCCTGCAGGATTGAATCAAATGTTTCACTGAATCCAAGGATTTCAGTGCTAAAGCTGCGTTGCAACAGAGTTTCAGTTTGTTTAATTGCGGATTCAATTCGTTTTAACTGTCTTTCCACTTCTTCTTTTTTCTGTGAGAGAGATTCCAGTGATTTTGTCGCTTGATTATCGACTGCATCAAAAACATCTTGTTTTCTCGTTTCGATGATTGCAATAATTTGGTCTACACAAGACTGCACTTGGCTTTTTACCTCGGTTACTTTCCATTGAAATACCATGCTTCTTTGGTTGAATTGTTCGACTTCTCTTTGTTTTTCCACTACTTTGTCTTTCAAAGATCGAATCATGGAGTTGATCTGTGTTTTGCGTTCATCAGTAGCTTCTTGCAAGGGCATCTTACCATGACCTTCATGAAGCGTTACGGCACAAGTGTTGCAAATGGCGACTTTACAGCCCTCGCAAAAGAACTCCAACTCTTTGTTTTCATGGTGTTTCTTCTGACAAAATGCTGGTCGCTCTAAAACAGCTTTGATGTCTTGATCTTGAAAATCTTTCAGCGCTAGCGTTCTGTGATCTTTATTTTCTCGAATTATGTTATGTCCTACAATACATTCTTCACACCAGAAGGAACAGCACTGGAAGCAATATAAGGTCTGGGCGCTTCGTTTGTCGCAGTTTCTGCATTTTACGTTGACTGCACTGCACTCTTTAATTGCCAAGACATCTAGCAGGCTGTTTATTCGAAAATTGGTGGGAAGTTCGCTGGGATTTCCACTTCCAGAAATCTGAAACTGTCTCCTACACTCGGGGCACGTAATTTTATCACGGACGCCGCTCGTTCGTTGAATTCCGTTCAGGCAGTGAAGACAGAAATTGTGCAAACAAGGCAACTGCTTTGGATCAGTGAATGGACACATGCACACAGAACAAGATACTTCATCATGAAGATTGTCCAGCAAGGTCTTTATATCCATGGAAAAGGTCGGAAACAAGGTTACTTTTTAAGAAATTTGGCCTAGTTGGTTGTTGACGATCAAGGAAATGGTAATGAGAATGAACAATTAAGTCTTGTATTGTGATCCATACTAAACTCTGTATTATTAGCCAATCAAATAGAGTTTCTTGACATGTTTTGATGGTGTCACGGAAAAATAAATAACATCCTGTATTTCCTAAAATTGTTAATCAGCTCTTTGAAAGAGCGTTCTCTCCCTAGTATAAATTGGTTCGGAAAAAGTTCCTACGCAGGCTTATATAAAAGAATGGACTACGCAAATTTTTTGTATTTGTAAACACCAGAACACTCAGCACGTTACACACGCGTACAATTCTTGGACAGATTAAACTGGGAAAGCAAGTCCCGGTTGGTCCAAAATCAGAATCAAAAAAGCCACGCGGAAGACAAAACGCGCCATTTCGCCATCTTTTATTTTACAGGATGGAGGACGGATTTATTTCCCATCAAATTTTTTCCAAGATAGTGCTCGTTAATCTGAGTGTTTTCAGCAAATACATTAATCAACCTTCGGTCAAGTCTCCTCAGATACTGCGCAACAAAATCCTCCAGAAACAAAGGTAGCTGCAGAAAATTTTTACTAATTCTTAAGCTTCTGTGGGCCTTTTGGCCAAGCTTAGACTTCCAACCACAGAGGGGTTGAAACACATCCAATCAAATCACATCTCCCGTAGTCTGTGAACAGGCCTTCAGTCGAGCGGGGAACTGGGGAGAGGGAAAAACGAAAGGGCCTCTTTTCCCCTTTCCCTTCCCTCTCCTCGCGATTTTTTCCCCAAACAGAGAGCCTGTTCACAGGCTACATCTCCTACAGTATCTTTAACAAAAAATGATTGTCGCATATAGTGTCTTTATCTTTGGAAGTGTTTGATTTGAAATAGGCTATAGCTACAATTTTATTGTAGTATTTTATTGTGCAGCTAAGCGGGGTTTGTCTAAAATGGTGTCAAAATTTGATGTCATTTCGTAGGCTGGAAAATACGGTAAAAAAACTGCCACCTTAACCTCTAAATTGGGTAGCTGTAAGTTCCAAACTGATCCGAACTCAGAAAGAGGAAAGTTGAGAAGGAAAAGTAACCCAATAACTCCTTGATGTCTGATGAAACGCTCAAAACTTTGTTTTCGTTTCCGTTGCATGTGTAACTAACACATACGTAATACTACACCCCAAATTTGGCGATTTCTTTGATAAAAACTGTTCCAGAAAGGTTCACCAGCACGAAAGTTTCTTTTCTTTACTTAACCTGTCATTTTAGTATAGAAAAAGCCACTCACTGTTAGATGCACTTCAGTTTTTGACTAAAGCATGCGGAAAAAGAGTAACATTAATTGAATGAAAAAAGAGAAGAAGGCTAATGACAAAGCTCAGCAAGAGTTCGAATCCAGTTTTTTTAATCGTAATCGTAATTTGATTCACGGCGAGCTCAGCTCCTCCCTAGCCACTTCGTTCTTCCCATGGTATTTCATAGAGGCGAGCGCGAAACGCGAGTGACTGGTGACGAAGAGCAAGGGACCAGCGGCGAGCTACTTTATCAGGTGACACAGGGCCTACAATAAGCGCAGGCGCAATTTCGAACAAGCGAGCCGCGCAAAGTGTGTAGCTGCCTGTGTGTGATTGTGAAAGCAAACTAAGAGCTCATTTAAACTCTGGAAATATTAATTGGTCTCCTACCATCACTCTCTAACAGGCGGACGCCTCTGTAGAGTAACAGTTATAAACGGTTCCAACGATCTTCGCAAACAGTCAGGAGCGTAACAATATTAAACAGAGCGAATTCTAGTATGCGCTCCCAGAAAACACCTGCAGTGTCCTGATTTGATCATTTGGACTTCACGCTTGAGGAGCCTGGGACGATACAAAAAGGAATTGAACTCTGGGACAGTTTTGGAGAGAACACCGCTTTTATTGGCTATCGCAAGAGGCTAGCAAGGGTGCCATCACTTGTGTGAGTGATTGGTGTACTAAACTCCGCTCCTGTTATCTCCTTGGCTTTCTACAGAAACAAAAATAGAAGTCAGAATGTACTTTTCTGTCGGACGAGAGGGCTTTGCAATGACTAAGCCGTCTTGCAAGGGAATTTTTGCGGCCAGCGACCTCGCTACTCGTGGTAAGGACAATGGAAATTGAGCGCGAACTTATCATAATAAAATAAGACCAAGATCAATATGTGACGGTAATTTTCTCTCCGACATAGTCGCAAATTTCTTATTTAGGACTAGTTGTGGCCAGTGACGTTCCATTGTTAAGGAAGTAATATATCAAACATGAGATGCAGTGTTTCATCACCAGCTGAAACACCGAGAAGAGAGTTGAAAATACGACGAGCAGCGGAGTATTTTTGACGAACTTCGAGGTGTTTCATCTGGTGATGAAACACTGTGTCGAATGTTTGATATTTCTTCTCAAACAAAATCATTTTTGAAGGAGAAATTAAGGATGCAAATACTAAGCAGTGTTTCATCCGATTTCTAAACACTCATTAAACATTAATTTCCTTTGTATTTTCTTAATGAATTATTAATGAGTTTGAGAACTGATGTTCCTATTTAAGCTTTTCTTCTGATGGAAGTACGTGTTTTTCTTCGAGTAGTTATGTGTATTTCAAAGTCAATTTGCTACGGTAGCCTCTTCAGTTCCACTACGATAACCTATTCAATAGGAATTGTTATAAAATTCCTCATTTTAGAGTGAAAAAACGTTGTTTGCAAAACTCATAGTAGCTGATAATTATTCAGTAATTAAGCTTGTACCTTTGGATCTGTAACAACGAAGTCTGGAACTAAACTGCTATGAACACTCAGCCATGATGGAACCTTAGAGGAGTCCTACACAAAATCGCTCATCATTTATAAATAATAATTTTAAAAATTCATTACAGCTCGTCTCTAACTATTGGACGACAAAGGCCCAAGGTATTGTAAGCGAAGACCGATTAGACCCTCGATCTATACGACCTATATGGATACCTTCAAACAAAAATAGAGAACTAGAAATGGAAGAGTTAAGGTGAAACGATAACCTGACAAGTAACCATTGCTCAAGGATACCATAGGGTTAACCTGTATGGAGAACATAAAAAGGGGACGGGTAGAGAGAAGGGGAGGGGATTAAATGAGGAACCCTATATTGCGAAACAGACTGAAGATAAGTTAAGGACAAGAGGAGAGGGGAGGGGATGGGATTATAGAGGGGAGGGGAGGGGATTATAGAGGGGATTAAGGAGACTCCTGAAATGAGGAACCCTATATTGCTAACAGATAAGATAAGATAAGGACAAGAGGAAAGGAGAGGGGAGAGAACCTTATCTGCTCCCATGTTCTTTTTCTCTCCTCCCCTTCATCCACTTGCTACGCAGGTTTTACTTGCGTACAGCTTGTAGCACATGCCCTGAACTGAAGTGTTTTAACAGATATCTACCTTTATAGAATAACGAAGATAGCACGCGCGTTCTGATTGGTTAAAAACCTATGGTTTATTGTGCCAGTAAACTCATAGAAAACTTTAAGTTATTTTATAAAAGCAATGGACCACACTTTCTATGGGTTTACCGGCGTGAAAACCCACGCGGGATGTTTGGAGAACACTCGAAAAGCTTGTAAATCACGAGCCGAGAGGATTATCACGCCGGTAAGCCCATAGAAAGTGTAGTCTATTGCTTAATAAAACTCTTTGTCGTCTGCTTTGGTCGTTTTGGGTCCATATGGACTCATGCATATTATTCTCCCTGGACCCCTTGGGCTTTCAATTCCAGCTATTAAGATGGTAATTAGTAATATCGGCGAGGATAGAGCACATGTCCACGTGTACATCATTTAGCAAATTTTGACCAATCTCAAAGCACCTGACGGCTCAAATTGATTAAGGCTTGGTTCTTTACAAATTCCTCAGAATTTTGAAGGAAAGTGGTCACATGTAACTTTTCTTTTTTTATGATACCGTAAAATTCCGAAAATAAGCCCTTCCATGTATAAGCCCCTTCAAATATAAGCCCCCCAATCCGGTAACGCGAAAACCCTCCGTTAAATCGCCCCTCCAAATATAAGCCTCCCGGGGCTTGTACTAGGAAAATTGCTCTCAAATACAAAGTAAAACAAAGCAAAAATGGTAAATTTACTTCCAACTATAAGGCTAGCCCAATCGATATTGAAACGCATCTTTCCCTCCGTAGATGAGCCCTTCCAAAAATAAACTCCTCAAAAAGGGCCTTTGAAAAATATAAGCCCCGGGGCTTATTTTCGGAATTTTACGGTATCCCAGGTCTAATACTAACAATAGCTAAGAAATCTTCAAAGTTTATTTGAAAAATTGTTTATAACTGCATTACGCGACCAGCCACGCCCTGTTTTATCTAGAAATCATTTGGGTCCGAATGGAAACTATGTAGAAAGCAAACGGTAAATTTGCTTTTGTAGGTCTAAACAGCGGCTGCCGATAGTCTTCTTGAAAAAAGATTGGAATGAGACGAAAGTGTCCTTATTAAGGGGTTTGAATTAAGAGAAAACTGTGTAAGGGCTTTTTTTTGCCAGGGACAAAAAATGAGGTATCTTCAACCAAAGTACTATGAGTTTGTCTTCAAGCAAAGGTACCAAGCGATTTGACAAAAATCCACTTTTCATCATAAATTAACCAAATCTGGCTATTTAAAGGAGCTGTGTCACGAAATTCAGCCAAATTAGGTAATTGCAAAATGCCCGTTAAATTGAGAGGAACGTAAAAATAACCGCTTAAAACATTAAAGGACGGTTAAAATAACATAACAGAAACAACAGATACCACGGATGGGCAAAACTGAAGAAGACTGAAACAAATTGAAATCAGGGTTTTTGAAAACTGTTCAGCCTAACAGTTTTTCAAAGTTGATCTCTGCTGTTTGCAACTTCAAAAATAATGCTCAGGAGACTTATTTGTTTGTCTCGAATCTCTGATTTTGTCATTTCCTTGTAATTTCCTTGCCTACTTTAAGTTCCATAGCGATTGAGGGCGAGTAATTGGCAAAATTAAACAAAATGAACTGGACTGCCGTGACACAGCCCCTTTAATGTAAAATCAGGTGAAAAAATCGGCGAAAGATGATTTTTCGGTTTTTTGATTAAAGAGGGGTTCGACTGTACTGTTGCCTTGCAATCCTACAAACTGCTCAGTTGACCTATACGCGGCTCGGATGATCACTGGACATAATGATGGTCTATTCTCCGAGAAGAGACGTAAAAATAGTGTTCTCAATTAGTACAAGCGTGCTAAATACATTATTTTACACTTGAATGAAGTAAACTGGTACGTTTTAACGTCAACACATGACGGTCTCATTAACAACGATAAATTTGAAGAAAGAAAGCATTCCTCATATTTGATTATCCTTTAATGCATTTTCAACAAAGCGTTATACAATTCTGTAAATATATTATATATGTTATAATTTAACGGACCTGAAGATCCTGACGAGAAAAACAAATGGTACTTGAGCTAAGGGCGCGGGAGAAATACTTCAAAAATACACCAGCTAACAACTAGCAACTGCTGGAAAGAAAATGAAAAGGTGTACAACATACAAAACAATTTTGATACCAAAAAATTGAACAACCTTATTAAACTACCCCTGATCGGCAATTAAATGAGACTATTCGATATATTTGAAGAAGGATTACAAAATTATATTTACAATTTGAATGTCACTTCAGCTATTATTACAGTTATTATTACAGCCACGATTTTATAATTTATTGTTACATTCACAGAAAAGACAAACTACGCGTGAGGACAACCTAATGCACTCCCCCCCCTCCCCCAATCCGGCAACAGTGACAAATAGCTCACGAATTCAGGATGTTTTTCGGAAAGTTACGGTTTCTTTTTCTAGATAAAGAAGCCAATTTGAACGTTTCAACAATAATACCACTGGAAAGATCATATTATGACTGGTCAAAAACCTGGATTCGGTTGTTCTCCTTATCACACACAACTATTCTTCCATCGCTAAGATTTGCTGTAGACACTGGACACTTAAACTCTCCTCTCCCGCTACCTTCACTTCCAAAGTTTGTATAAAACTTTCCACTCAGATCAACTACCTGAACTCTGTGATTCTTTTCATCACAGACCATAAGCAATCCATCTTTGTTAACTGACAAGTAACGGGGCTCATTAAATTCTCCATCTTTGATTCCCTGTTTTCCAAATTTAGAAATAAACTTTCCCTCCAGATTAAACATTTTAATGGAATAATTACCACGATCTGAGACTATGAAATATTGACGGTATTGGATACAGTGATGGGGCTTGACCAAAGAACCTGCTCCACCAAATTTACGTGAATACTCCCCACTAGAAGAGAATATCTTGATTAATTTGTTACCTTTATCAGCAACAATAATATCACCGTTGCCATTTATTGATAAACCTTGAGGGAATTCAAGCTGTTCATCATGACTTCCTTTTTCACCAAACATACTAAGAAAGTTACCATTCCTATCAAAGACTTGCACCCCGTGGTTAAAAGAGTCTGCCACTACAATATTGCCATTACTATCAAAAGCGATCCCTGTAGGGCAATAGAACTCACCATTATTCTTACCCTTCCTACCAAAGGATCTTAAGTGGGTACCGTCACTACTAAACACTGAAACCCTGTTATTACCGAGCTCAGTCACAGCAATTTCATCCTGATCATTCACTGCCACCCCATAGGGAACGTTAAGCATTCCAACAGACTCACCTTTTTGTCCAAATGACAGCACAGATCTGAAGCGCCTGGTTTTTACCTGAGCCTTAAAAGGACTTTCACAAAAATTTGCCCCTTTATCCCCAGCAACTACTTTATTACTTTCTTTACCTTTAGTTACTCATCCTGATTGTTGCGCTTTAGTTTCGCTAAAAACAAACTCTACTTTACCTATCCCCTCGCTCATGCTCAACAGGTTAATCAGTTTTTTACTTTTAGTGAAACTAAACCAAGGAATACAGTTTTCTTTGGTGCTCTGTTCCTGCAGGATTGAATCAAATGTTTCAGTGAATCCCTTGATTTCAGAACTAAAACCTCGTTTTAACAGAGTTTCAGTTTGTTCAATCGCTGATTCAATTAATTTCACTTGTTTTTCCATTTCGCCTTTTTTCTGTAAGAGAGATTCCAGTGATTTTGTCGCTTGATTATCAATCATATTAAAAACATCTTGTTTTTTCGCTTCGATGATTGCAATAATTTGGTCTACACAAGACTGCACTTGGCTTTTTACCTCGGCTACTTTCGATTGAAATGCGATGCTTTTTTGGTTGAATTGTTCGACTTCCTTTTGTTTTTCCAGTACTTTGTCTTTTAAAGATTTTATCATGGAGCTAATCTGTGTTTTGCGCTCATCAGAAGCTTCTTGCAAAGGCATCTTACCATGACCTTCATGAAGTGTTACAGCACAAGTGCTACAAATGGCGACTTTACAGCCTTTGCAAAAGAATTTCAGCTCTTCTTTTTCATGGTGTTTCTTCTGACAAAATGCTGGTCGCTCTAATACAGCCTTGATGTCTTGATCTTGAAAATCTTTCAGTGCTAGCGTTCTGTGTTTATTGTTAGCACGCATTATGTCATGTCCTAAAATGCATTTCTCGCACCAGAAAGAACAACACTGGAAGCAATAGGAGGTCTGAGAACTCCTTTTATCGCAGTTTCCACACTTCACGTTAGCTGTACTACACTCTTTTATTGCCAAGACATCTAGCAGGCTGTTTATTCGAAAATTGGTGGGAAGTTCGCTGGGATTTCCACTTCCAGAAATCTGAAACTGTCTTCTGCACTCGGGGGCATGTAATTTTGCCATGGACGCCGCTTGTTCGTTGAATTTCGTTCAAGCAGTGAAGACAGAAACTGTGCAAACAAGGCAACTGCTTTGGATCAGTGAATGTACACATACACACGGAACAGGATACTTCATCATGAAGATTGTCGAGCAAGGTCTTTATATCCATGGAATAGGTCGGAAGCAAGGTTACTTTTGTAAAATTTTGGCCTCTAGTTGTTGGCGATCAAGAAGCTTCAAGAGAATGGCTTTGCAAATGAACAATGAAGTCTTGTTTTGTGACCCAGACTAAACACTGTATTATTAACCAATCAAATAGAGTTTCTTGACATGTTTTGATGGTTTGACCGAAGAATAAAAGTCATCAAATGTATTTCCGAGAATTGTTAATCAGCTCTTTGAAGCATGGATAAATTGCCGGCAAGCATTTCCGCGCGAGGTGGTCAAGAAAGTCGAAAGTAGGAATGAAGGAGCTTTAGGTACATAAATTAATCAACCTTCGGCCAAGTCATCTCTGATATATACTGTCCAACAAAATACTCCAGAAAAAATGGCAGTTGCAGAAAATTTTTACCATTAAAATCTTTAGTTTCTGTGGGCCTTTGGGCCATGCAAGCTTAGACTTCCAACCACAGAGGGGTTGAAGGTGCAGTGAAGTATAACTGGTATAACAGGGACTGTTTTTCCTTAAGACCAAGGTGTGCTAGCTTATAGAGTATAATTCAGCGTGCAGGTGCCTTGAAGGTCATGTTAAGATGCCTTTGCTAATTAAGAAACTATCGACACATGCAAAACAAAAGATTAACTCCGTGATAAATCTTTGAAAGACAAAGTACTGGAAAAACAAAAGGAAGTCGAACAATTCAACCAAAAAACAATTTCAATTTAAAGACCGAGGTAAAATGCCAAATGTAATCTTGTGTAGACAAAATTATTGTGCTCAACAAAGCGAGAAAACAAGATGTTTTTGATGCGCTCGGTAATCAAGCGACAAAATCACTGGAATCTCTCTCACAGAAAAAAGACAAAGTAGAAAAACTGACACTCTGTTGAAACGAAGTTTAGTACTGAAATCCAGGGATTCAGTGAAACATTCGATTCAATCCTGCAGGAACAGCACCACAGAAAACTCTGACACTGAATGTATTCTTCGGTTTAGTTTCACCAGAAACTCATAAGGGGTTATCAGTTTCTGGTTTCACTAAAAGTGAAAAACTGATAAACCTTCTGAGCATTAGCGAGGGGATAGCAGAGGCGTAGCGTCCTTTACGCAAATACGCACGTGAGTACGTGAGAAATTGGTAAGATTTTTTTTAAAGGTTTTCTGAGTGTCGACGTGACTTGACTTTGTATTGTGCAGATTTTTTTCTTGTATGTCTCTCTGTTATTCAGCATCGTCTTTTAATATCCGTAAAATACAGCAGTTTGAGTAGTGAAATGTGATAAATTCGAAAAATTCTTGAATAAATTTTGCCTTCGGGCGATCCCACAATACATTGCATATTCATGAAAATCGAACCTGGCTGATTATCATTCCTTTTAAGATTTGTCTGCAAAGTTTTCCTATTCAAAAGCTTTTTCATTTTTTTAGTTTTCTCTCTCTCTCTTCATAAATGTTGAAAAAGTCTATCAAAGACTACTTTGATGTCGCTCACCTGGAAAGTCATGGACCAAACCATGCCGACGATAATCCACGTAAGCCGGGTGCACGTTTGGCGCGGTATCAAAAAGAATTTTGCAA